TTGACTCGAAATTAGCAGGAAAAGATGTAAGCATTAATTCCAATTACTTTTTATTATTTTCAAAATCTATTTAAAAATCACATATTCATTTTTGTTCATTTCATTAAAACAGATCAAAGCTAGTAGATTTGCAGTATCGCTAAGAAGATATTTATTTAAAGAACATCTAGGATTGCTTCATGTTTCTGAAAATCATTTGTCTGAGGTTACTTCCTACAGCTATCCCCCACCATTACATATTAACAATGGATCTCAACGTCTTCAAACAGATGAAGAAAAAAAATTAGAAGACCCTGTTAGTGATGAATTTTTTGTTTTCTGGAAAGGCATAGCTGAAAAAAATACAAAGATTTTTAAAGATGTTTTTCACTGTTTACCTGATGACGATGGTAATTATTCTATTTATAGACCTGTAGTATATTAAATTAATCTTAAATTAATTTCTTCTTTCAAACAGTTAAAACATGGGATGATTATCAAAGTTTTGTTCCCGATCCAAAAAAAATTCCGTTAGGCCATGTATATGATCCAGATAAAATTTCGGAATTGGAAAATATTAAAGGTCACTTAGTACAATTCCCTTATAGATTTCTAGAAGAAGAAGTTTCAACTTTGAAAAAGATTGAAACTCTTAATGATTTAAAGGATGACTTCAAAGAACTTGAATTTGCTGTTGAAAGCGAATTGATTGGAAATTTGGCTACGTCATCTGAACATGCTGCCGCGTTTGCCGGATAATTGCTAATTATTTGACCAATATTCAGAAATAACTAAAGGCAGAGATCTAATGCGGCAAAAAAAAAAAAAAATTCCTTAAAAACTGATTTTTGTTTTTGAGATTTATTTAATTTAAGTATTAAAATTAGCTATTCAAATTCATGAATATTTTTTTTAATATTATTTATTTGTATTTGGTATAAATAAAGTGAAATATGAAAATAATATATAACATGATCTTTACTCACTGAATAAAGTTATTCGAAATACCATTATTTACTTGCTTTCAAATTTTGATGTAATTTGGTTAAACTTTCATTAATCAGCTTTTGTGTTATAATAACGTCATTCGAAATGCTATTTTTTACTTGCTTTCAAATTTTGATGTAATTGGGCTAACTTTTCATTAATCAGCTTTTTTGCGTTAGAGCAAAAAACCTATCTATAACTTAAAAGCTGATTAATGAAAAGTTAACCAAAATTTGAAGGTAAATAAAAAATTCATTTTGAAGAACTTTATTTAGTGGGTAAAGATTGATTTACTTCGTAAACAATCCTGTTTCCTTGTAATATGTTCAATTCGCTGCTTTATCCGTATTCGTCATAATATCCACGTTTGCCTTATATTTCACCTGAGCATAAACGCGGAATTTGTCATTAATTATATACAATATCTGTCTCATAGAGACTTTTATATGATTGACTGTTTAAATCAATTTAATTTGATATTATTTATACAGTTTAAAGTAATTTTTCAAAAAAAAATCAGTTTTATTAGGATCGTAGGACTCCAATATTAAAAATAATCAAACTCCTTTTTGGTTTAGAGAAGTTAAATAATAACGACTTCTGAAAAATAGATAGAATTAAGTTATTATCATGATAGCTTCTCTAAAATAAATGGGATTTGAATAGTGGATCCAATGATCCTAATCAAACTTACTATATACTTTTTTTTTTATTTATTCTTTGTAGTTTGATTTTTATTAAAAAGTTTAAATTAATTTAAACAGCCAATCAAATGACAGTCTTTCTATGAGTATTTGTCACCAAAGTAATTTAGCTGTACCGAACTTAAAAGAGGTATTGATTATGTAATACATACGTGTCAAAATGTCAATTGCGAAGCGGCTGGAAAAAACGGCAATTCATTGGGTGTTACTCAAATAACAATAATGTAATTCACTTGCATTTAGAAGACAATAAGTCAAAGGATTATCTTAACAAACTTATTAAATAAATAATCTGCGTAATGCAAATAGGGTTGAAGTTGAAAAGTTGAAAAGTAAAAGTTCCAATTCAATTCTTGACATATTAGAACAATTCCTAGTAAAAAAAAAGCAATTTAGACAATTTATGAAATAATTAATTCGATCCTATGGTTCAGATAATTCTTATCGTTAAGGTAAATGAGTTGAAAAAGATAAACATAAAGCATTCAGTTATTATCAACAATACGCTGACATGGACCATTCCGTTGGAACATTGTTTCATTAGATTCTGTTATGAGGAAGGAATTGGAGCTAAAAAGGATGAACAAAAGGCATTAATTGATTATCAAAATTCATCGGAGATGGGATATGCTAATGGGATATATAATTGGATATTGTTATGTGAAAGGAATTGGAGTCAAAAGGATAAACATAGGGCATTCACTTATTAGCCAAAATCAGCAGAGATTGGGACACGGTTAGCTTGATAAAGTCTTTAGCAAACACACTTCGGTTACCAGTTGACTTTTACTCTTGGTAATTTCGTATTGTCCAATGAACGACAACCATATTTTATCTTCCAAACCAAGTTCCAGAAAGTGATCTTTTGTGCAGTGAACGTTAACATTTCTTTAAGGCTATAAACAATATTTGCGGTGATTTTTTATTAATATTCTTAAAAAGTACTTTAAAGTGTATAAATAAGTTACCTGGGCAATTCATTAACCAATCAGATGAATGTCGTCTTACCAATCAGATTAAAGACCGCTATGCTAGGTAGAAACTGGTTGGCTAATAAAAAATTGTTGCAAAAGTCACCTATAACTTTAAATAGTGTTAATAGTCACTGCAAAAAACTTAAAAAAGGATTATAGAAAAAATACGCCGCAAACTAATGAACATACTGTTAGCTAATTAAAAGATACCCAACCGAAAAATATTATGCTAAAGGCTGCATCCTCAAAATAATGAAGTTCATTATTATACTATACAGTACTGGACAACAAAACGTATAAAATATAAAAGGTCAAAAACAAAATATTTTACCGAAAATTTCTCTTATAGATTTGTTGCTTTTATCCAAGCTAAAATTCTGTTAGAATAGAAATTTTATAATACTTTAAAGTTTATATATCTAAAAACTGGCATTTAATATAAAAAAATCTATACTAGGAAATCAGGATCTGATAAACGTCCGAAGCAATAATATATCACGTCTAATTGTTTAATAGATTTTATTTTATCTCATTTATACAATACATGTATATTTTATTCTCTTGAATTCATTAAGTTTTTTTTTTTTATTAAGATCTACAGCCTTTCTGAAGATCATCACGGGATCCATCATCTCTCAAATTTCATTGGTGATTTCCGCCGGATATTGCATAGATGTGCAATGATTTGTTGGCTAATAATATTTGATTATGTAATCTTCAAATTTGTCGCTTTTGAAAAAAATGGATATTTTTTGCTGTCCGGTATTGTATAAAATTGACATACGTTGTGTCACTGGATCCAATGCATTTTGCAGATCTCAACATTAAATAAAAACAACATAGAAAGAAATTCGTCTGATTGGCTAGTGTAAGTTAATTGCTCGGGTAACTTATTTATACATTTTAAATACTTTTTTAAGAACGCGAAGCTTTATTAAGCAAAAATCGGTACAAACATCGTAACAAAGTGTTTAACGTTCACAGTGCAAAGGAATAACAAATAAAGATCGAATTCCTGAAAAACTTTGCATAGAAAACAAAATATTTCTACCGTTTATTGGACCATATCAAATTATACTGTGGAATAGCTGGGATCTGAGCCAAAATCCCAATAAAAATTAACCGGAACTATGGATAATGTGGGCTAATCTGTCGGGATTATGACTTGTTGGATTTGTTTGTCGAGATTTTGACCCAGATTCGAATAACTGGAAGCATTTTTGTTCAAGACTGCCTTATTACGTTAGATTTAAATAAACTTTTGTTAATAAATACTTGAGTAGGAATAAGCATATAACGGAAGATCTGAATTTAATACATGGATATGTTCGATTCTTATTGTATATTGTATTATTAATAATAAGGTATAGTTATTGCCCGCTTCGCGGGCAATAATTAATTTATTCCACTTCCATACTATTTTTTAATTTATTGATAATGAGGTTCCATTCTACGCCCCCAAAAACCCTTCCCAAACCTAATCCTAACCTTAATATTAACTTTAACGTGAAAAAATTGGTGATAAAAATTTTATATACAAAACTTAGAAAAACTTAGAAATTTTTAAAAAACATAATAAAAACATATAATAGGTGCAAAACCACCATAGGTGCGTTTTATAATAATTGTAAATTAATTATAATTTGAAAAAATTTTATTAGTAATAACTTTTAATTTTATAGTAAATTTTTAAAATACCATGTAGCTCATATGAAAAATAATCTACATACCCTCTACCCTTAAGTTTTGGTAAATCGGTTAAAATTGATATGTGAATCAAATATTTGAGCACTAACTTATCGGAATACCAAAATAGAGGTCGAAACCGGTTGTAAATTTTAAGACCTGAGTTGGATTTGCGTGTAATATAAAACCGGTTATTATTTAAGTTAAACCTGGTGGAATTTAAACCGAATTATAATCGGTTGCACAATGTAATATGATATTATATTGATAGACGAGAGTTCTGATTGGCTAAAATCATTTACCTTGTTCACGTGAAATTTAAAATTTCTCAAAGAATATCGATTAAATCAATTCACAATAAAGTACAATACTGCATAGCACGGATCGTCCGAGTTTGCAGCTGATTTAAGATGACCCGAATTTATAGTCGAATTTCATTAACCGATTCTGACCTCTATACTAAAATATGTCCACCTTAAAATTCTGCGTAAATTGAATAATCTTCAAATTTAGCCTATTATACTGCACTTATGAAAAAGTTAATTATAAAAAAATTATCGAAATTAATAAATTAAGGGCATACTATGTTATAAAGTGCTGGTTTGTGAATCCCTATGATTCATACGTATGACTTGAAGGCTAAATTTGATTTATCTCTAAATAGCATACATCCTATCTAGAGGTGCAGGTGAATCGTCCCAATGATGCCGTAACTATATTAAATAATTATAAAAGTTACGGCAAACATACCGTAACTTTTTATAGTTATTTAATATAGTTACGGCACGTTACGGCAAAGTTACGGCATCATTGGGACAATTCGCCTGCACCTCTAATCCTATCTCAAAAATATTATCATTGTGTTTTGAAGCATAATCAGATTGAAAATGATAAAAAGTATACCCGAATACTTAGTCTTTGTAAATATCTAACTAAATACATCAATCAATATTTTTAAGTTATTTTATTTAGATCATGCAGAACTATCATCGCTTCCAAGTTCATTTCAACGCTTGAACTCCTTGTGCGTTTATTATTGGCTTCAAGAAATAAATTAATGGTAACTAAAAGCCGCTAGAGTGGCATTAGAGCACACTTCTTCACATTCTCTGAAATTCTAAAAAATATTTTAACAGATCGGGATAGGTTGATCAGTGAAGAGTTATTATGCTGTGATTTATTAATAATAAATGTTTTACTGCGCTTTTCAAATTACTGTGATCGTCAGATTATTGTCCATCACACGGAAATCTGTAAAATTCCCTTAAATTTATCATTTTTTAAAAAATTCCCATTCAAAAAGCCAGAATTCCAAAGATTCCTTGTCAAATTCCGATTCTCTGGTGTATTATCCATTAGTGCACCATATCTTGTGATACTCAGATCAGAAAACACTAAAATTTTTTAA